TAAATTATTTTACAATATACCTGTAAATGTGTATAGGTACATTATTTGGAATAGATAATTATGTACACTTTTCATACTAGGTAAATTATGTTTTTCATAAAACAAACAAGTAATAGGTACATTATTTTTTCAACATAATTAGTATGTACAGTTTTATTCATAAACAATTATAAAGTGGATTATTAGTCATGTATAATTCATAAAAAGAAAATAACATAAACATTTTATTAAACAAACCGATTACCTAAATTTGAATTTATTGTTAAATTTTTTTAAAAAAATGTTTCAAAATTAATTCCTACATCCATTATAACCATTTGAAGATCTTTCCAAATTCAACATCTGTCATTATATACAATCCAATTAAAAACTGTTTCCATATTGATTCCTACATTAATTTACAAAATGCAATAATGGCTTAGTTGGGGGTATTTTTGGAATCTGAAAAGTACAATAAATCAGATTTTATGCTTAATTAGGTAACTTGCTGAGTTGGATCTTAATCATGGGTTTTTACTTATACAAATTGGGTATTATTTATAGGAACAAAAAGTGAAGGGTTTTAGGTACGGCAAATTGAATTTGAAGGGTGTAAGCCAAATTTACTATATTAAAAATAACTGCGACTTTCTTTACCAGATAACCCTATTTATTAATTGTAGGCCTCATGCATATGTTGCTTACTCAACATGTACGACGCGTCACTTCAATCCAAAAAGAAATGTTACTCGATCGTGAAATATGTACATATTATTGACCAAAATTTAAGCCACGGGAACAAACTTGGTTTTCACCTGAATTAATACTCAAAAGTTTGCTTTCACAATTCAAAGCACGGTGTTGGGATTGATAAATTTTTGTATGTTTTAGGTACACAAGTTGATCGGTATACCATTCAATATACATATGTGTATTGAAAAATATTTTCATATGGTTAGATCGTATACTAACCAGGGACGGACTCAAGATTTCAAAATGGAGTTGGCTAAATTTACCTTATTGAACTGTTAGATTTTAGGCTCGGCTTGAGGCTTATGAAATTAATCATAAATATATATAAATTTAATTTAAGAACTATCATTTTTATTTTATTTGTTTTACAGGCCTATTTTACAGGCCTATTTTACACCAATAATGCCAGCTCTACCATGATGAACAAAAATGAATTAAGAGAAAAGAAAAATCAAACAAGAAAATTTATCATCACAAGGTAGAGTCAGATAGACACGCACGACACCCAGAGGTATGACTACTATTATCCAATTAGTTCAATTGATATTTATACTCTAAGAGCATCTACAATGGGCTCCCTAAACCACCTCCTTAGACAAATTTTAGGGAGGAATCGTAAAAATGTAACTCCAACCGCGCTCCCTATTCACCTCCTAAAATAGGGAGTCCTCTAGGAGCTCCTAAATCTGAGGAGAGAGAAAGGACTCCTAGTGGCTCCCTATAATTTAATGTTGCTTTTATTTAATAAGTGTTTCAAACCTTTAATTAATATTTATTATTTTTTATATTATTTTTTAATAGAGATTGACCAATTAAAAAAGAGAGATAACATTTATGACTCCCTAAATTAGAGAGCATGGTTGGAATTGAAATTTTTTAGAGAGCTCTTAAAATAGTTTTCTTATATTCTTAGCCAAATTTTAGCTAAAAAATAGAGAGTATCATTGTGGATGCTCTAAGAGCATCATAAGGCAACATTAAATTATAGGAAACCACTAGGAGTACTTTCTCTCTCCTCAGATTTAGGAGTTTCTAGATGTCTCCCTATTTTAGGAGGTAGATATGGAGCATGGTTGGAGATGTATTTTTCCAAATCCTCCTTAAAATTTGTCTAAGGTGGTGGTTTAGAGAGCTCATTGTGAATGCTCTAAGTGGGCTCAACATTAACACTAACTAGAAGAAAGGAATAAGAAAAAAAAAACTCAACTAGGCTATAGCCCATGTTGTGCATGTCATGGGTCCGTCCCTGACACTAACTACTCGGAACATACAAATATTACACGTTGGGATGTTGTAAATTGCAATAGAGGTGGAACAAATTAAGAAGCTAGCTGCATATGTTGAATTCTTTTTATTTTTAAAACCAAGGGACCAAATCAGAAAATGGCTGGACTGATCAATCATTTTTAGACGAGTACTGCTACACTCACCACATTTTTATTCCATATTTTCATACCACCTTATATGACAAATGAAGTGGACAATTATATCAATTAAAAAGTGTCAATAAATCATAAAAGAAAAGAAAATGTTAAATTAATTTTAATTGATGTGTTGTCTACCTCATATGCCACATAAGGTAATATAAGAATATAGTACACAAATATGGTAAGAATATCATTATTCTCTTTAGCCTAAGGCCGACCATTAGGAGCTTTGTCCTTTCTTCTTCTTTTGATTTTTTGTCGGTAGGCTTTGTCTTGTCTTGTCTTGTCGCGTCGCGTCGCGTTGCATGTCTCTTCTTTTCTTTTCCTTTGGACTTGTTTGTTTTTCAGTATTAGTAATGAATTTGATCATTGAAACTCTCCATGGTTTGGAAAGTTTACAAATTATATTCACAATCATAAACCAAAAGAACGCTGGAAGTTGTTAAATCATGCTAATTAATCACATTTTTGTGTGGTAATTATAACAACTAATTTAGATATGGTAAAAAATTTGTATTTTCTTACACAAATTCAACTGAAAAAGCAATGCGGCTTAATGCAGTTCCATATGTCAATCCTCCAATCACAATCATGAATGCATGTGAATTACCCGTATCTTATTGCTAATTACTTAACGTGTTATCAACTGGAAATGACAAAGACTTGCCAAGATTTATCCATCTTTTTTGTTGGTACCCAGGAGGAGACAGCTAAGTTAAAATCGGTTGCAATTTTTTTATTTGAAAAAAAAAAAAAACACTCAAGAACAAGAAATCTCCAACGATTAAATACAGCACCACCAACCAAACTATGGCTCTCTACGTCGTCGTCTTGAAGTGACAAGTCACACCCCCTCCGGGCCACCGTTCACCGGCCCACGCATTCAAATCATGTCCCCAACAGTCTCATTAATACCCAAAATCTTAACCAGTCCAATCCATGGTTAAAGTAAAGCAATAATTTAAAAACTAGTATGAGGCAGTCGACATATAGGTTTTTGCCTTCCTTTAATTTTATTTTATTTATAAACGAAATATTCAAAGTACATTACAAAAATCTTATAACATAAGTAATTATAAGGTACATTAGAATCATTTAGGTATTTGATGATATCAATCAAGTAACTAAATAGTTTACAAATAAAAGCCTTTATGTCAAAATTTCTTTGACCCTTTATGGTTATGTATGGAGGTACACTTGTGCGCTTGATGTTGCTGGTGAAGTTCTCCGTATTTGTAATAGCCTTGTGTATTTATGTGTATTTGTATTGACTCTTGTGGTTGACGACCTTTGCGCTTAAATTATAAATGCAATGTGTCATCTTTTTATCTATAAAGAAAATATTTGATTTATCTCTTTAAAAAGACTTATACTCCTTTCAATCACAACTTACAAGTTGCCAATAAAAGTTATGAAATTCCTAAGTTGCGATATTTGATTTTGTTATTCTTATTCTTAGATCTTCATTTTCCTTAGCTCAGCGCATCGAACACTTTAATAAAATTATGATATTATAAAACAAAACTCATTATTATAAAATGGGGAACAAATTTCCAAAGAGAATGAAAAGTTGACCAGGAAGTCCAGAAACTGAAGAAAATGAGGTGTGCCTCTTCTTGACCACCTCTGAATATTCTTCTTTATAAGAAAATTTTAAAAAACTTACCAATAAAATACTCTACCTAGTACCTTGCCATGTTCAGCCGACACCATCCCCGAGTCCTTACCTACTGAAACGGCGTCGCCTTCGTTTGTGTGCCTCTTTTCTTGCCAACCCAATCAAGCAAAGTGCTCGGGGAGAGCAATGCCAATGGGAGCGTGTGAAATCAAATAATATTTGGTTTCCTTTTACGGCATAAAATTTTCAAACGCGTCAAATTCGCCAAATACGTCTAAAACCAAAGCTCTCTGCTTTCTTTCCCCTTTTGCTCTCTGAAAACATTTTATAATTTAAATATCTATATGAATTTCTAAGCTCTATATCTCAGTCTCTCAGACTCTCACTGAACCCCTCTTTCCCCAATTTCTTCAAATCTAGGGTTACTGAGTGGCAAAGAAACCAGAACGAACACATTCATTCGTTGATCGTTTTGTGCTTGGAGCCCTGTTCATTGTCCGTACAAAAAGCTGACATTTTTAGAGGCATTGCGGGACAAATTCAATGAAGCGAGGCAAGGTCGACTCGATGCTGCCTCCGAGTCGACTCGGAATGGTTCAAATTTTGATTGGTGCAGTGTTCGTCTACTTGCTTTTCATCACCTTCGAAATCCCTCACGTGTTGAAGTACGGATTCGGGTCGTCGGGTTCAGACGACAGTCTCGACGCATTGCCCAGAACGTTCATGCTCGAAAGCGAAGAGGAAATGGGCGAGAGAGACGCCCCAAGTAGACCCACGGAGGACCCGTTTCGGGACTCTGGAGGCTCGCCGTCTAGGACCCCCCAGAGGCGAACGCGCGAGGTCAAGAAAGTGTCGGGCTTGGTCTTCAAGGACACTCTGTTTGACACCAATGTCAGTAGAGACCAAGTCTCTGAGCTTCACAAAGCCGCCAAGAATGCTTGGACAGCTGGGAAGAAGCTCTGGGCCGAGCTCGAGTCAGGGAAGCTCGAGTTTGGCCTGAAGAACAAGTCCGAGAACCGCTCCGAGCCGTGCCCGCACTCGCTTATACTATCCGGGTCCGAATTTGAGGCCCGAAAACGGGTCATGGTTCTTCCGTGCGGGATGACTTTGTGGTCTCATATAACGGTGGTAGGTACGCCGAAGTGGGCCCACTCGGAATATGATCCGAAGATATCGATGTTGAAGGAAGGAGACGAAGCAGTGATGGTTTCGCAGTTTATGATGGAATTGCAGGGTTTGAAGAATGTGGAGGGGGAGGACCCACCGAGAATATTGCATTTCAATCCGAGGTTGAAGGGGGATTGGAGTGGGAAGCCAGTGATTGAGCAGAACACTTGTTATCGGATGCAATGGGGGTCTGCGCTTCGGTGTGAGGGTTGGAAATCACGGGCTGATGAAGATACTGGTAGGTGGATTCAATGTATTTTAATTGCTTTTCTTAATGAATTTAGGAATAGGGTTCTTTGTTGTTTTTTTAGGGGTTGCATTTAACTAAATTTAGTCTTGGTAGGTAAAGTGTATATTATAGAGCTGTGCCAAGCTAATGCACACGTTTGCTGATTCTTTGATTTGTCAAAGTTGATGGGCAGGTGAAATGTGAGAAGTGGATTCGTGATGATGATGATCACTCAGAAGAATCAAAAGCCACATGGTGGTTGAACAGGCTGATAGGACGAACGAAGAAGGTGACGATAGACTGGCCTTACCCTTTTGCAGAGGGAAAATTGTTTGTTCTTACTGTAAGTGCTGGTTTGGAAGGTTACCATATCAATGTTGATGGTAGGCATCTCACTTCTTTCCCTTATCGCACGGTGAGTACTGAGTAGCCTTGTGATATCGTCTTACATTGTGATGAATGCAGGTTATCTTATGATTTATACTCCCTTGTCAGGGATTCGCTCTTGAGGATGCAACTGGACTATCTGTAAATGGAGACATTGATGTGCACTCTGTGCTTGCTGCCTCCTTACCCACATCACATCCTAGTTTTGCACCATCGATGCATCTTGAGATGGTTACCAGATGGAAAGTTCCGTCTCTTCCCTATGGACATGTGGAGTTGTTCATTGGCATTCTGTCTGCTGGCAACCATTTTGCGGAGCGGATGGCTGTGAGAAAGTCTTGGATGCAGCATAAGTTAATCAAATCTTCTCGTGTTGTGGCTCGTTTTTTTGTAGCTCTGGTAAGGGTGAATGTAGAAGGCATGAATTTGTGCTTTGATAAACCACTTATGTATTGGTTGTATGCCAAAGACTTTACAGCTTTTGGAATTATGTTCTGACAGCATGGAAGAAATGAAGTGAACATGGAGCTAATGAAAGAAGTAGGATATTTTGGTGACATTGTTATAGTTCCTTATATGGATAACTATGATCTTGTAGTATTGAAGACTGTTGCAATTTGCGAATATGGGGTAAAGTCTCATAACAAGACTTCAACTTGGCTATTTGTTTTTATTCCTTGTGGAGAATACTGAATGTCAATGTATGTGGCTCTTTACAGATTCGGACAGTGCCTGCAAAATATATCATGAAGTGCGATGATGACACATTTGTCAGGGTGGATGCTGTGCTCAAGGAAGTGCGGAAAGTTCATGGACATAGAAGTCTCTATATTGGAAATATGAACTACCACCACAAGCCTCTTCGCCATGGTAAATGGGCAGTGACTTATGAGGTATGAATTCTTCTACGCTTCTCCAATCATTCTAAAGGAAAGTTTATACAACTTCTACTGTTTATAAGTCCCCAATCATGAATCAATTCTGGTATTCTCAAGTTGTATGAATTGTTCTTTAAATTGATAACTAGAATCTCAACTACATTGCTTAATGTGCTTTTATTTTAAAGGAAAATTTATACAACTTGTCAGTTTTACTAGTTTCTCTTCTAATGCTTAGGTTTGATTGTAGTAATATAATGCAGGTGATCTTGTGCCACGTGTTAGTATGTCTTCTTGTAAATTCCCTTTTGGGATGCCTCTTAGTTGAGCGTTGATGCTTTAGATTAGAGTAATTATCTTCGCTTCAAGATGTTCAGAGATGATGTGTTTTGTAACAATTAGGAGATGGAGGAATGAGTTTTTACTTGAAAGAAAATGAGGAGATAGAGGAACCACTATTACTTTTGAGAATGGCCTACCTGATTTTTTCAGAAATTTGACATCCAAATGTTCTTATCAAACTCTTAACTTTCATTGTGAAAATTTCACTCGGATGTCTTATCTGCCTGATTTTCATTGTATTTTTACACAGAACATTGTATGCAATGGTGACTAGTTTAAAAATCAATAAGAGTTAGAATTCTCTAGTACCAGTTTGATGTTTAACACTATCATTTTGTTCTTCACATTCATATAGACTTGATACATGCGTTATGTCATGAGCAATCTCACATCTTCATGATCTTATTCCAGGAATGGCCAGAAGAAGATTATCCATCTTATGCGAATGGTCCGGGATACGTTCTCTCCTCTGACATAGCAAAGTTCATCGTATCCGATTTTGAAAAGCACAAGTTGCGAGTATGTGTTTGCATGTGTGTAGTCTGCGCATGCTCACAGATTGTTATTATATTATTTACTAGACAGTAGAAGGCCATGGATGTGATGATTTAATAAATTACTGTTTATATGGTGCAGTTGTTCAAGATGGAAGATGTGAGCATGGGAATGTGGGTGGAGCAGTTCAACAATTCTAAACCGGTGGAGTATGTGCACAGCTTGAAGTTCTGCCAGTTTGGGTGCATCGACGACTATTACACCGCACATTACCAATCCCCGAGACAGATGATATGCATGTGGGACAAGTTGCAACATCAAGGGAAACCCCAGTGCTGCAATATGAGATGACCATGGTGCATTATCAAACATTTTTTCTTTACAATATAGAGAATGTGAAAAAGAATACATAGAAACAAGTTTACAGTCATAGTATACCGCTGTAAATATTCGGTGGGGGTTAATTATAAACCTTTTCCAAATTCTGTCAAATTTTCTCTTGGTTTTTTTTGCTTTCTCAGTCCCTCATTTACATTATTTACGATCGAAGAAAAGCTGTAGAGCACCAAAAAAACGAATGTTCTTGATTGAAATCAGAAAGATTCGACCCCCGCCCATTTCTGTCCACTTTTCTTTAGGCCTCTCAATTCAGGTTGGGCTTGTTATAATTAGAACCATTCTGGTTGGTCTTAGATGTGGATGAGTTTCTTTTTTCATGTTTTTCATCTATGATGTTAAACTCTTCTATTAAAAATTTAGTTTTAATAACCAAAATAGTATTTGACTACAGTAAAAGTAAAATAAAAGATGACATATTGATATTTAAGGGCTTGAAATTCAATTCGACCGGGTCAATTAAGTAATACTATAATTATAATTTAATAGTTAAATTATAATTAAAAGATTAATTATGAAATTAATATTGACATATAGAAATATTGGATTAGGCTTTTAAATATGATTTAAAAGGAAATGGACAAAATAGCTCAAAAGGCTATTGGGTCCAAGGGATAAGTGGCATAAGATGATATGACCCATGGACCAAATAGAGTCCAAAGTATCCACCAAATTGCCTTTTGTGTTGTCCTATATAAGCTAAGTGTTGGAGAAAACCTAGCTAGGGTTTTTGGTTTCCTACTTTGATTGATGAGTGATCATCTTTGTATCTCATCTTCCATAAACCAAAAATTGGTCCAGTCAAGAAGTAGACTAGCATCCATACTTCTTAATTGCCTTCTCTTCATCTCTAGGAGTATTTGGTCTGGTGAGGTAGATGACTCCAATCTTGGAGCCTTAAGGTGAAGGAGTCAAAATCAAGAGAAACAAAAGGCCCTCCAACAAAGGTATATGGGCTTGTTTTCAAACTTATGTGATATATGTGTTAGATTTTCTTTTTTATGTCACTTATTCATAGGATATGGGATATAGGATGAATGAGTAGGAGTATGAAAAGAAAAAAACTCAAGAGATGACACTAATGGGGGTGGCGGCAAGGAGAGGCTTTTTGGGTCTTGTGTGTGTCTATGTGTGAAATGTTTACATGGTTGTGTTAGTCTTGAAATTCTAAGCATGGATATGATTTTTGCATGAATTTAGGTTTTTTGTGTGATTTATGAAGAGTCATAAAGATTTTAAAAAGGTTCTTGAAAATGAAGATGGTTTTTGGGTATAAAAGATGGTACCACTTTGTGGTCCCAAAATCACACCATCTTTTTCAAAATATCACCACACAACACCACACACACACACACATTCTCTCCTACATGGCCAGCCCCACCCTAGGATCCCTTTTGGGGTCCTCATGCAATTTTTGTAAATTAGGGGTTGTTTATGCAATTGCTAAAAAATTACAATTTTGCCCAAAACTTTAATTAATTGCGGTTTTTGGTTTCCTACTTTGGTTGATGAGTGATAATCTTTGTATCTCATATTCCATAAACCAAAAATTGGTTCAATCAAGAAATAGATTAGCATCCATACTTCTTGATTACCTTCTCTTAATCTCTAGGAGCATTTGGTGTGGTGAGATAGATTACTCTAATCTTGGAGCCTTAAGGTGAATAAGTCAAAACCAAGAGAAATAAAAGGTTTTTTCAACAAAGGTGTTCATTCTTGAGAAATCAAGCAAAGGTCATCAAGGGTAAAGATCTATTCCCTTTTTCCTTTTTCTATTTGTGTTCAAAGAGACTAGACTAAGATACTTTGTTTAAAATGAAAAAGGTTTAGTTCAACTAGTATAAACAAAATGAATCCGCCATTTACAATGTTTTTTTTGTATAGGTTGTGGCTAAAGTTCGTTTTCTAAGCATTAGATGCATGTTTCCTTCAGGGCCTTAGTCCAGGGACCATTGATACAATTTTATCAAAACTTTATTTTTCGCACTATGGACTGGTCTGTCCCATAACTATATATGGGTGGGCTTAATAAAAAGTGAAGTGTTAATTGTATGTGACAAATATAGGTGTCAAACGGATGGAGCCAATTTTAGCACCTCATGAATCTAGACTCAGACATGATCCAGTTAACTGGGAGTACTTTTCAATTTTCATGTTAGAGGCTCAATAGGTTGCCATTTCCAATTTTCCAGAGCAACATGTAGTACTAGTGATTATTATTAGCATGCGATAACTTTTCAATTCTCATGGTGGACAACTGAGGTTTTGATTGGGACTTACTCAACCCAACCCACTAATAAAGTTGATAACATGACATCAGTAATATCTTCTAATTCGTGTATTTTCGTTGCCTTTAGGGGAACACAAGTAGATGTGTCAAATGGATCTTTGACCTGTATCTTTGAGCCATGTCGAGACAAGGTAATTAGATCCAATAAGTCAGGCCGGCTCGAAACTCAATAGACCGATCAGTTGAAACAAACATAAAAGAGATTAAAAGTACAAGTTTAACTCAAAAACATAACGAAAGAAAAAGCAAGAATGGTACAAAATGATATGTAATTATGCACCGATCACTGACCGGTTGATGAACACAAAGATAAGTTATCTACATGAGGTTGGGTCAACAATATGATTCTTGTTCTTCTGTATCTCTGTAATTTTTTATTCTATTCACGGCATCCTTTTTTGAAACATAGATTAAGTTGAGTTTATGATTCTTCTTGTTCTCTAGTATTTCTGAATTCTTGTTATATTTACATTGGAGGAAATCCACTGGGGTTTCTTTCCTGGATGCCACGAGGGGAGGCTGTGGTGGGAACCCTTTGTGGTTCTTTTGATTTCTGCATTTGATATATTCTTTACATTCTTATTTGATTTATGTTGAACCTTGATACTATTGTTATAGGCTGATAGGCTTAATGAACTACCCACTGTAATTAGGTATACCTTATGGCAAAGCAGCTCGTAGCTACAACCATTTTATCCAAATCATGGAATAAAAGCTTGTGGTGGAGGCACGCTTCCGATAGCTCTGCTAGTAACGAATACCAATTTAAACAATCGGTGGGTAAACTTGTTGGCCAATCTATGCTGGCCTTCAGTTTAATATGTAAAAGGTTTACCGCCTGTCAGTATATGTCTAACTTCATTGGGAGAGCACCACTTAATATTGAAAATAAAGTTAGAATTTTGGAGGTCTCAGTCCCTGCCCAAGACTAGAGAGTTCACCCTTTCATCCGAACTTTTACAAAATGGACATGTGCAAGTCTTGAAACTTGAGAGACATATTAGATTTCCTCCAGGATTGTACATGACTGAGGATAGTATAAGTTGATGTATCGTTCGAGTCATCTAACTCAAATCAATCCATGCTGAACTTTTTTGACATGTGCCCGCATCTTGAAGAGTTGTACGTCAAAGGGAGAATCATAGAGCTCCCTTTGGAATCACAAATGTTCTTCATTCATTCTGTTAACTTGAAAAAGCTAAATTTCACATTGCATATACGAGCAAAAAAATCACGAGAACTCTCAGAACCTACTATTGCTGCTAAGAACTTGTATCATTGCATAATTGAAGCACCTAACCTGCAAGTTCTCCATATTGAAGAATCTGTCTTTGTGAGTTTCACCATCAGAAATTTGCAATCCCTTCAAGAAGCCAGGGTGGAAGCAGGGTTTTTTTGAAGCTAGAGATGAACTCGGTGAAGTTCTTGAACATCACCTTCTTTCTGAAAAAATATTTTCCACTCTTTATGAAGCATCAAATGTTAGGTCACTTGTTCTCAAGGAATGAGCTTTCGGGGTAAGGTTTCCTTTCACTTTTGTATTTGAAGTTTGGATTGAAATGTGTTTGGTGAAATTATGACGAGGATGAGGCTTGGATAGTCATGCTTGAACTTGAACTTGTAGTTCAATTTTTGCTGGCACTAGGTTTCTGTTTTTGTTAGGACTACCGCCATACTATTGAAGAAGCATTTATGAACAAGTATATAGACATAAACCTTCCCTGATTCAAAAGTCTTAGGGTAAGCATAGCACACTCTGATGGGTGGGAATTCCTACTTTATCTGCTTGTTCAAATACCTCACTTAGAGAGGATTAAGCTCGAAATGGTGAAGAGGGAAGATGTTCGGGAAAACAGAAGATTTGTTTGGAACCCCCGAATAGGGGTTACTCCTACTTTATTTGCTTGTTCATATACCTCACTTAGAGAGGATTAAGCTTGAAATGGTGAAGAGGGAAGATGTTCGGGAAAACAGAAGATTCATTTGGAACTCCGAATAGGGGTTACGGCAGAGTGCCTGAGGGAGACTATCAAACAAATTCGGCTCATTGGATTTGGAAGGATGGAGGTAGAAGCACATATCATTCAGGATTATTTTACCATTGTTCAAGAATGAAAAAGGGAAGCAATAATTATCACAGTGGGACTGAGGGACATACTTTAGTCTCCCTCAGGCACTCTGCCGTAACCCCTATTCGGGGGTTCCAAACAAATCTTCTGTTTTCCCGAACATCTTCCCTCTTCACCATTTCAAGCTTAATCCTCTCTAAGTGAGGTATTTGAACAAGCAAATAAAGTAGGAATTCCCACCCATCAGAGTGTGCTATGCTTACCCTAAGACTTTTGAACAAGCGAAGGTTTATGTCTATATACTTGTTCATAAATGCTTCTTCAATAGTATGGCGGTAGTCCTAACAAAAGCAGAAACCTAGTGCCAGCAAAAATTGAACTACAAGTTCAAGTTCAAGCATCACTATCGAAGCCTCATCCTTGTCATAATTTCACCAAACACATTTCAATCCAAACTTCAAATACAAAAGTGAAAGGAAACCTTACCCCGAAAGCTCATTCCTTGAGAACAAGCGACCTAACATTTGATGCTTCATGAAGAGTGGAAAATATTTTTTCAAAAAGAAGGTGAAGTTCAAGAACTTCATCAAGTTCAACTCTGACTTCAAAAACTGCTTCCTGGCTTTTTGAAGGGGTTGCAAATTTCTGATGGTGAAACTCACAAAGACAAATTCTTCAATATGAAGAACTTGCAGGTTATGTGCTTCAATTATGGAACGATACAAGTTCTTAGCAGCAGTAGTAGGTTTCGAGAGTTCTCGTCATTTTTGTGCTCGTATATACAATGTGAAATTCAACTTTTTCAAGCTTACCAGGACGGACGAGGAACATTTGTGATTCCAAAGGGAGCTCTAT